GGGCAGGGTCCTGGAGGAGGGGGCAGGGGGAGGACTCTCAGGCCACTGTTGGGGGGGCAGCCTCCTGATGGATCCCCCATCCTGTTTCTCTGCCACTCCCCCCATCACACCCCAGTGACGACTACGATGACACAGACGATGACGACCCTTTCAACCCTCAGGTACTGGACTCCTGGGTCTGAGGGAGGAGGGGCCGGGGGCCTGGACTCCTGGGTCTGAGGGAAGAGGGGCTAGGAGCCTGGATTTCTGGTCTGAGGGAGGCGGGCTGAGGGCCCACATTACAAAGCCAGATTCGTTGGCAATGTCCCCTCTCACCCAAATCTCCCCAGCAGGAATCCAAGCGCTTTGTGCAGTGGCAGTCGTCTATCTGAGCCCCTCCTCCATGCCAGACTGCAGCCTACCCCCCATCTCCGGTGAGCTGCCAGAGCGACACCCGAGCTCCCAAAGCCGGCCTCTGCCCTCCTCTCCCTCACTCTGGGCACGGTGGTGGCCCTCCCACCTGCATCTGGTGCCCTGTCTCTGCCTCTCTCTGCAGTTCCTTCCCTGGCTGCTGGAGAAGACCCCACTAACCCAGCCCAACTGGGCTCCCACCACTAACAACACCGCTGGCCACGGACACCCCAAATAGGACTGCTCCCCTGTCCTGCCCCCCTCTTTGTGTCCTAACCCTTGGGAGTAAGCTGAGGGGGCAGCCAGGGCCCCGGACTGGCCAGGGAGGGGCAGCCAGCCAGCCTCACACCTCCTCACCCCTGGCCGCCAGGCCCATCCTTGAAGGGACACAAGTGCCCCCGCCCCTGCGGTGCCCCAGTGGGCTTAGGGCCCTTGATCTCAACTTGTGGCACTAACTTGGGAATGGGTTGGTTTGAAATAAAAGGGAAGACTTTATTTTACAAGGATCTGGGTCCTTCTTATTTGTCCCCTCCTGGTTCTGGCCTCCTGGTTGGGGCCGGGGAGATCCCTTCCCCTCAGCCTCCTGGCTGCCGGCGTTTCTGCTCCTGTCCAGGCTTTGTGGCGGTTCCAAAGGGATTGTTCTTTTTAAAAAAAAAAATAACTTTTTTTCTCTGGTTTTAAAAGGAGTACATGTGTCCTGACACAGGACGAGGTGGACATCCCTGGAACAGAATAGACAGCCTGGTAATAGATCTCAGTATTTGTATAGACGACAGAAGACAGACTGCAGGTCAGGGTGAGAAGGACCGTTTGGTTTCGAAGCACTGCTGACTTAACTGGCTCTCTGTCAGGAAATACATACGAGATGGGTGAAAAATCTAAGTGTATACAAGTAAAGGGATGGAAGCATTTCAAGAGAAAGTAGGAGAATTCTGTATATTGTATATCTTGCTTGGAGGGGGAGGATTTTAAGCAAGATATCCTAAAGCCGAAAAGGAAAAGGTAACATTTGACAAATTGTGGAACGAAAAAAATGCTGTCAAGAGGCAAATTGATAGTCTGGGGAAAATTGTGGTTTTTTTTAACACATATGGCAAAGAAATATATAATTCTTAATATATAAATATAATCTACAAAGCTTCCACAAACTAAGAAAAAGACAACCCAACTTAAAAATAAGCAACTAAGATAGACATTCAATGAAGTGAAAATCCCATCACCAGTGAAAACGAAAAACCATTCAAACCGTAATAATTAGGAAGTGCAATTTGAAACAACCACAAACTTTTTTTTCCACCACCTAGTTATCACGAAATTAAAGGAGCACTAACATTCCATGCTGGCAAGGATGTGGAGGAACCAGGCACCCAAACGCCCTGCTCCCGAGGCTGTGAACTGCAACACGAAAGAAATAATCTGCTCCTGTGTGATAAAATCAAACTGTATAGACCCTTGAGCCGGCAGTCCTACTTTTGGGAATCAATTTATGGAAAGAAAGCAGAGACATCTGAGGACATATGTCAAGGACTGTTTGCTGCAACCATCAGCTAAACTCTGGAAACTAAAGTCCACAGAAAGACGACATGTCTGATAAGTCACCCTACAGCAGGGCTCTCCAGAACACAACAGCTCCTGGCTGGGCCTGGGATTTCAGGGAAAGCCTGAGAGAGGAGGGATTTGAGGTGGGTGTGACAATAGCAGCAGAGCAGACAAACACAGAGGAGGCCGTGGTTAAGCCCTGCCTGCTCTTTACCACCAGTTGGCCGTGGGCAGTCACCTGACCTGTTGGACCTCAGCTGCCTCAGCCATCAGATGGGTCATGAAAGACAGCTCCCCCGTCCCTCCTCTGCAGTTCTGAAATCCAAAGAGCTGTGTTAGACCAAACGTCCTCCCTTAACTCCCTGGGCAGCAGGACCTGACCCGACCTGGCATGAGGTGACTTCCAGACTATCTCCCTGCCTGGTGTGAATGTTCATCTGTTTCCCTGCAGAAACTGATGGGCTTACTTCCAAGTGCTGTGAAGGGTGCTGTGGATGTGGTGTGCCACGTGGAACATAAACCATGTTGTCTCTCGAAACTTTGAAAAATCCTGGAGCCCCAAGACACATATATGGCTCTGAGGGTTTCGGGTGAGGGCTGGTTGGCTGTCAGATGCCAGGTATCCAGCATAGGGCCTGCCATGGGGGAACCGCTCCGTGCTTGCTAATCATTTCCATCCTGTGCACTGCACGGAGTGTTCAACAGAGCTTTCAATATGTGGGCCTGAAGCTAGGAAAGAGAAATGGACTATAATTTCCTGTGAAGGGCTCTGGGGGCCACCTGTGTTGACTCGCTTCTCAAGACCCGGTGAGCTGACCCTGGGGCCAGCCCTGCTGCTAGTCTGGCTGTTTTGCTCTCAAACACTGCCCCCTAGTGACTCTGAGTCCAGCGCGATGTGTTGGATTTCGCAAAGGACCCTTGAGGTTCAGGCCGCGTGATTTCCTGCCAACTGGCCTTCCAGTGATCTTTAATCAGGAAGCTTTACCCAAGAAAAAAGGACATTTGCCTAATCTTTACGAAAGTAAATCTATACATTTAAAATCTATCATTTATTTTTAAATGATACCTATGAGGACTCCCACTTCTGACCAAGATGGACTAACAGGGACTGGATCTGCTCTCCTTCCTGAAACAACCAAAAAGCCAGGCAAAATTCGTGAAACAACGGTGCTCAAGACTCGGGACATCAGGCAAGGAGGGAGAGTGGTCCCTGAGAGATGGGAAACGTCAAGGTGATCCCTGAAATCACCAGTCTGTCAGAAGAGAGTTTCCCACCACAGCGCAGGGGAGGTGCCCCGAGGCAGAGCACCTCCCAAAGGCCCCTATTTTTTAAAAAATGCTCAAAGCAAAAGAAGGCAGAAAAAGAGGAAAAGGGGAATAAAGAAAGATGGAACAAATAGAAACTCGATGGCAAGATGATGAGTTTAAAGGAAACCAAACCAGTAATCACACTAAAAGTACAGTTATAAGCACCTCTTTTAAAACGCAGAGATTGTACATTTGGGTAAAAAGAAAGATCCAGCGATATGCCGTCTACATGAAAACCCCCTTAAATATAACCCTGAAATGTAAATGGATGCGAAATGCAGTGGGGTACCCTGGACTGGACTCTGGCACATAAAGGAGACGTCAGTGGAAAAAGTGGTGAAATTCAGATAAAGCCTGCAGTTTAGTTAATAGTCACGTGCCAATGTTGGTTTCTTCCTTCTAACAAACATACCACAGTAAAGTGAGATGACAGCATTAGGGGAAACTGGGTGTAGGGTACGTGGGACCTTGAACTATCTCTGTAGCTTTTTTGTAAGTTTAAAATTATTCTAAAACAAAAAGTTTAATAATAAAAAGTAAAAGAATGGAAAAAGGTCAACTATGTGTTGATGCAAATAATCGGTAATCAATCTATAAATCAAATGGGGGTGCGTTTATGATGAGCCAGTCCTGAGGATCACATAGCCAGGGAGAGTACCTTCACCAAGGAAGAAAGCTCTCTGAAGCAGCGGGGTATACAGAGTGGTTATAGACTCGTTTGGAACAAGGAATATACATCAGTTATGCCAGGAATATCTTTTACTACAGTCACAGGATACTTGCTAGCACAGCAGGTCGATGGTAATGAGATGAGCTAAAGCAGGATAGTAATTAACCCTTAGTTTCTAGGAAGAAATGCTTATCTTGAAAGAAATGCTGATATGAGGGGAGGCAACATCCCTATCTTCGAGGGCATCATTCTCCGCTTTGGGTCATTGTAAATGTTCAAAACAGATGGACAACGCATAGTCGACAGGCCAGGTCAGCCCTTTCTGGAAAAACAAGGTCAGGCTGGATTAGTTTTAAACCAAATGGCTTCCTCACATACTCCAATGTATCTTACTGCTTTTCGGTTATTCATCATATGCTAACAGTAGCAAAATGATACATACACCAAGAGAAAAGTCTATAGTAACAGAAAGTGGGAAGGAACTGGCTTCTGAAATACTGTTCTATCACCTACTGTGACTCCAGTGACCGCTCCCTGAACTGGACTGGATAATTTTATCAGCCCGAGTCCTGCATGGAAACAGATGGCATGCTCAAAAGGTGACTTGCAAGGAGTTTAAAGGAAGGCCAAACTCCTTAGACTTTCAGGATCTGCTACTGGCCTAGCTCTTCACTCCAGGAGGCCACACACTTCCATCCTATACCTGCTCCGACCATTCTCCCCGACCTACCCTTGTTTCCCGCCTCTGAGTGTTTGACCAGGCCGTTCCCTCCGCCGGGTGCGCCTTTCCCGTTTTATCTACTAGGGAAGCTCCCCTTTCCAAGGGGAGACTGTTCTCACCCCCTTTCTCTGAGTTCATTGTCTTCCCCGGGCCTTCCGCAGCACTGTACGGTGGGTAGTTTTACAACTCTCATCACCCTAGTCTACACCTAGAGATAAGCAAGGCTACCGCGAACCGAGCCCCCACACGGCTGCGCGGAAGGGCGCAGGGTCCTACAAGCCTGCGGCGCCTGTCCCCTCGGGGCCACCATCCCCCCGCCCCGTTTCCGGCTTGCCTTTAAAGCGCCCACCGCGTCATTGCGTAGGCGGGGGGGGGGGGAACGGGCTCAGATCAAGCTTGCGGCGGCCATTGGCTGTGCGGCGGGAGGGAGGCGGGGCGAGGCCTCCGTGTGACGTCAGCACGCCGCGGTCGGGACGTCGGAGCCCTAGGAAGACAAGAGCCAGCCGGGTCGGGAGCGCTCTCGCGGCCGTGTTGCTCTCGCCTTGGGCCGCTGCTGACGATTCCCGGGGGCGATCGGCCGAGGTGGGTGTGGGGAGCTGCGGGCCGGCGGGCGGGCGGGGTCGGCGTCTCCTTTCGGCATTACTCCGCGCGGGCCCGGAGGCCTCGGCGGCTGTCGCAGCAGCGGACGCCGCGCGCGAGCGG